ATATATATATATNTATATATATATATATATATATATATATATATATGCTTGAGTATCCTTTGAAATTCTGTTATTTGAATTCTGTTATTTTTATTTTATTATTTTGTAACATTCTTTGATCGACAAAATGAAAGTTAAGAAAACTAGAAGTAAAATTTTTATGATGATTTTTTTTGTTTTTTTGTTTTTTTTTTATTTTTATTTTTTTTTTTTAAGTAATAAAAAATACTAAAAGATAACATTCTTCTGACATTTATTGCATCTAATATTTAATGTCAGTTCATGAATATTCAAGGGTTCGACTATTTAGACGAATGTATTTGGCTTTTACCTTGATTGCGTAACGCTATTTGCTTTGAGATCGGTTTCGTATATCTTAGTTTAGAAGTAAAGGTAGGTCGATTAACGCGAGTTTTCATTTGAGAATAGTTTCTCATTTTATTGTTATCCTTTTTTTTCGTTTTTTTTAATCTTGACTGACTGCCTGACGATTCTTTTGACTGTCGAACATTACGTATCACCCGTAGTGGCTGTATTGTTAGATTTGTTTGTAAAAATTTTCTGTGTATTATGTTCTAAGAAGGTGAAAAGAATTCGAGGAAGCTCTTCTGCAAATTTTTTTTTACAATTTTTTTTTCAACGCGATTCTTTGTCTGTTTAAAAAAAAAATAATAATAATAACAAAAAAAAACATTACTCGAGACTTTTTAATTTTATTTATACTAGTGACAAGATGTACCACAGATTGCTCCATGTCAGATTCCAAACATATACATATATATATCTACATATATGTATATACATATATATACGTGCTGTTGTTTATTTATTCACAATTAAGGTACCAGAAGTATAGTTCGCTAAGCTATTCTCAAGTGTCTCGCTTTAAATTACGTTTCTTTTGAGAATCCTCGAAAATAAAATTTTTAAATTACAAAATTAAAAATACAAGCCTGTTAAATGCCAGCAATTGTTCAAGATATAATATAAAAATATCGATGGAATATGGATTTTCGAAAGAGTCGTAAATGTTTTTACTACGAAGCCTGTCTTGTACCACTGAAGTTTACGCAGATATGCATTATTAGTTCTTTTTTTTTCTCTTAACACTTGTATTGATTGCAACTTTTCTTTCCACTTGTATGAATATATAAGATTTTGAACTGCTGTAAACTCTAAAGGTAACAAGAAGGCAACGATACCGTTTTTTCGGTTATTTCTTTTCACCATTATTTAGTGACTAACATTGTTTGAGCTTTGAATAGTACCTTGATAAAAACGGTGTATGTCATGTGTAAGATATACTTGGGTGTGGGAGTACCACTTTTGGAATCAAGACATATTCGACGCGCGTTGTAAAAATTAAATTTAATTAAATTGAAGGAAAAACAAGATATTCATCTATTAATGACATGCAATATATATTGATCAGCGTCAAAAATGTCTCGATGATGAGGATGTGAGTTAACACGATCAGCAGGAAATGGAAAAGGAACCTTATAAAATGCATAATATGTAAAATTGAGAGCGAATGAATAGTTCCAATATTGCCTGTTGTTCGATAATTCATGTTGTCTCTTATCCTTCCTAGCAGTGGTACCACGTACCGTTGGCTTAGATCAAACCTACGGCCAACAAACTGAACGGACTTGCATTTTCCATTGCATGTGTTACAGCATACCCGGTGACACCTCATCCACCAACAGGTTTTGTCCCTGCGCCGGCACAGCCTGCTACTTACGGTAGTACACGTAAGAGAGAATCATCTGTTTATTGCATCAATTCCCTCAGATTCCAATGAATCGATTATATACGAATTTTGTAATAGTTGCAGGTGCCGCACCGTATGGAGTATTTCCTAATCAACCACAACTATATGCCGCGCAAGGCCCACCACCGCCAACGTATGATCAAACTCTTACCCATCCAATGGTAAATACTTTGTTGTGATAATTGTTTGTTATAATTTATGAAAGACACGTACCACTCGTTAGAAGTTTTCGTCAAAATTAATCTAATTAATCTGTATATAGATGTATCAACCAATGTATGGTCAAGGATATCCAGGATACTTAGCGGGTTATCCTGCATATGGTCCATTGCAATATTATCCACCATTAGCTGCAGCTGCTGCATATTATCCTGCAGCGGCAATGCAACCTCCAGTTAGGCCTCCTACACTCGTTATGCCTGTAAGTTATTATTAAATTTATACTTTTGTTATAATATTTAATGAGAATATTAATTTGTTGCATTGTTCTTCTTCTTTCAAAGAATGGGTTCGATGCTACTAATCGATTCGATAGTATTTCACAACCTGTCTTGCCACCACCCCCAACAGTTCCAAATGCCGCCCAATTAGCTGCAATGGCAAGTCATAGCGTGGCTATATCGCAAAAGAAGAACTTTCTAGGAGGAGGAACAGAAGGCGGTTACACCTTTTGGTAAACCATTAAACCTTTTGTGAAACACTAAGTCTAACAAAGGCATTGTTGTCGAGATGATCCATGTAGGCAAATCTGATTTATGTTAGAATTTTACTATTTTCACATTGGAAGCAGCTATTAAATTAGTATATCTTGTGCGCGGATCGATTGCAAAAGTAGCACTTATTGATTCGCAAAATTCCAAAATGCTTAATATATTTTTTGTTATTTCGTTAGTTTGTCACAAATTAAATATGTGACACAGTTATCAGTGCACAATGCAATTTTCAGATTTTAGCAATCGGTCAACGCATCGAACATATTATGAGATTTAAGAAAAACATTAAGAAAGGAAGACTCGTGCGATGCTTATATTAACTATATTCAATTATATTCAATTAATTAAAAAAAAAAACCAAAATCACATTTTGTAAATTGAAAATGCGTGACAGTAAAGTTGTAGGTCTTGGATGATACATCGTTGTTTCATGATGGTAACGTTCAAGTGATAAATCAATCTCTTGGCGTATTTGAAGTAAAATTTAAGATAATTATTTAAAAAACAATATATTTAATATATATAATTTTTCATAATTATACAAATTAAGTTCAAAGTAATTTCATAACATCACGCAATATATTTGAATATTATGAATACAATTTTTTTCAAAAACGATTAATTTTGTTTATATAATATAAAAAATATCGACTTTTTCAAATATATTTTGACCAATTTTTCTGCAATCAACGACTTTTCAAAACGCACGAGATATTCCATTTTTTTTTTTTATTTTTTT